GATCACGCTTTGCTCGCACAAGCACGAAGCCGAAATCACCAGCCTGAAGATGGTGAGTGGGACCTTCTTGAAACGTCGCCAAGATACTCTCAATCTTACAAGGGAAAAGACCCGAACATGCCAAGATCTGGATGGATGGATGGATTGATGGATGGATGGATGGATGGATGGATGGATGGATAGATAGATAGATAGATAGATAGATAGATAGATAGATAGATAGATAGATAGATAGATAGTTTCCCCCAAAATAAGACCCTGTCTTATATATTTTTTGCTACCAAAAAAAGGCACCAGATCTTATTTTCGGGGGACGTCATCCACTGACTAACCTCACTTGTGCGCACCACTCCCGGTCTCCTTTTCGCTGTCAGAGGCCTTCAGGAACTCCTTCTTCTGTGGCTGGCAAGGCTTTCCTGAAGGCCTCTGCAACCGGTAAGAGAGTTCTGGATCGATCCGGAGCTTTGTTATGAGCTACAGAGGCCTTCAGGAAAGCCTTGCCCACCTTGCCGGCTGCAGAAGAAATGGGCCGGCAAGGCAGGTGTTGGGGTGTGCGAGGCCTGACTACAACTGTCCAAAGGTAAGTAGTAGGGCAGCTTCACCCCCCCTTCATCCCCACCCTAGCTTAATTTTTACCCATGCACTCGAATGGGCAGGATCTTAATTGGGGCTTATTTGGGGGGTAGGGTTTATATTGGGCACACATGTAAAAATCAACTAGGACGTGATGGTGAACCTATGGCACATGTGCCAGAAGTAGCATGCAGAGCCATTTCTGCCAGCACGTGAGAGGTCGCCTGAAAGAGCCCTACTGCGCATGCGTGGGCGCCACCCGACAGCTGATCGTCGGGTATCTGGCACACATGCGCACGCAAGGGATGCGCGGGAGACCTGCGTGCATGAGCAAGGAGCGTGGTGGGGGCATGCACGCTGCCTTCTGGGTGCTGGCACATGACCGATCCAAAGCTCTGTTATCGTCTGCAGAGGTCTTCAGGAAAGATTTGCCGGCCGCAGAAGTCGTCGTTCCTGAAGGCCTCTGACAGCGGAAAGGAGGCGGGGAGCAACACGCGCAAGTGAGGTTAGTCGGTGGATGACGTCACCCGAAAATAAGACCTGGTGCCTTTTTTTGGTGGCAAAAATATATATATATAAGACAGGGTCTTATTTTCGAGGAAACACGGTAGAGGGCATTGCATGCCAAAACAACCAGACATGGGGATAGTTTTTTTTCCCCTCGTGCCATCAATCTGCCGAACACCTGATTCTCACAACACCATCTAACGCCTACGTGTATTTACCCAAGTAGTAGGACTGTATTACTATTATCCTTCGCATCTTCTCTACTACTCCCTTTTACTGGAATCATGATGATGATGATGATGATTACTCTGTTGCTTTGCATGTACACGGACAGCTTCTGCACTGGGGACAAATTCCATGTGTGCCCAATCACATTGGCCAATGAATAGTCTATTCTCCTACGGGCAGTCCTCAACTTACAACCACCCAACATTCCTGTTGCTAAGCGAAATGTTTGTGCGGTGAGTTCGCCCTGTTCTGTGACCTTTCTTGCCCCTGTCGTTAAGTGAATCACTGTAGTTCTTAAATGAGTCCAACTGTCGTTAAGTGAATCCAGCTTCCCCCATTTGACTTGGGGATCACGTCACCCTGGGGCTTTGCAACCATCATAAATGTATGTCAGTTGCCAAGCATCTCCATTGTGATCCCACGACCATGGAGATGCTACAACGGTTGTTAAGTGTGAAAACTGGTCCTAAGCAGGGTTGGGATTCAGCCAGTTCGGGCCAGTTCAGGTGAACCGGATGTTAAATTTACATCGGGTTCGCTGAACCAGTAGTTGAACTCACCAGCTGGCCTCACACACCCCGCTCTGCCCCTCCGCAGAATCTCCAAGTGGCCCATTTCGGATGCAGGTGATACAGGGTGTGTGTGTGGGGGGGGGAAAGGCTCTGGGGGGGGGGGAAACGGCCCTCCCGGAAGTTCCTGAAGTCCGGAAACAGGCCTGTTTTTGGGCTTCTGGAGGCCCTCCGGAGGCTGGGGGAAGCCGTTTCGCCCTCCCAGAGTCCCGAGGGAAGCCTCAGGACTCTGGGGAAGGCGAAAAACAGCCCTCCCAGAAGTTCCAGTAGGCCACGCCCATGCAGCAACCGAGCAGAGAACCGGTTGTTGGGATTTTTGAATCCCACCTCTGGTCCTGAGTCCCTTTTTTTCAGAGTTGTTGTAACTTTGAACGGTCACTAAACGAACTGTTCTAAGGGACTCCCTGTATTCTGCTGCTATCTGGGAAGCGCTGAAGACACGCTAAAGCAAGCTAAACACTCGTCCGTCTCACGCCCAGATTAACCTGTGGTTAATCAACTGACTCCCCGACAGAAAGTCCACAACACGTAAGATTGCCCCACCCACACCCAGGTAGATGTGTGTAAATTCCACACCTTTCAACCGGCTGCGTGCTCAGAGGAGGGGCAAGTCGTGAATGGAGGCAGCTGCTCTGATATCCATAATGGAACCTGCCCATTTCCAGTTCCAAAGGCCGTCATAACTCAAGGACTACTTGTATATACAAACAGGCAGCAAACCCCACTCCCTTCTAGCACTGATGATGTTACCTAGTGGGGTAATGAAACATCTCCAAGAAAACAACCGAGCTCAGATAGCACAAAGGGCCCCACAATTATTTCCTCCTCCTCCTCCTCCTCCCTTTGAGCGCTGATGAGGTTACCTAGGTGGGCAATGAAACGTCTGCAAGAAAACCACCAAGCTCAGAGAGCCGCCAGGACCCCACTATCCTCCTCTTCCTCACCCACTTCACAAACCCCACTCCCTTCTGTCACTGGTGATGTTACCTGGGGAGCTAATGAAAGGTCTCCAGGAAAACAATCACGCTCAGGAATCCCCAAAAGTTCAACCACAGTTCAACCCTAAGCTACAAACTTGGTTGCCACAATATAAAAAAGAAGTTGAGACTCTCTAGAGCAGGGGTCTCCAACTCAATTTACCTGGGGGCCGCTGGAGGAGGTAGAGTCTGGGTGAGGCTGGGCCGCATAAGGGATTCCACCAAAAAACGTTGTTAAAAAAATATATCCTCAAATGTCATTTCATAGAAGTGTTTAGCCAGCTAGCGACGCATGGAGAACGTCTCAACGCGTGACATCATTTCCGCTTCTACTTGTCACAACAGCGCGGCGGATGACGAACAGCCCGCTAGCAGTCGCCTTTCTCTGCGTTTGATCGTGGCATTTGTTGATGGTAGAAAGTACCGGAATGGCGACCGCAAAAAAAAAAGGCGACTGCTACCGGACGGTTTGTCATCCGCCACACTGTTGTTACAAGCGTAGTGTGCATGAAGTCGGTGTAGCTTAGCCTAGCACCGAATGTCAGCCACGACGAGGAACGGCGGGCGGGACTTCCTTCAGAGGTCCATTCCCCCTGCGGGCCGAACTAATATTATGCTTTCATATCACGGTGGGGGCCACAGGATATCGTCCTGCGGGCCGCAATTGGCCCGCGGGCCGCGAGAATGAGACCTCTGCTCTAGAGAGTGTACAGAGAAGAGCAACAAAGAGGATTAGGGCACCGGATTAGGGCACATATGAAGAACGGTTGCAGTTCTTCTAGTTTAATGAAAAGAAGGACTAGGGGAGACACGATAGCAGTGTTCCAATATTTGAGGGGCTGCCACAAAGAAGAGGGGATCAAGCTATTCTCCAAAGCACCTGAGCTACAGGGACATGAAGCAACAGATAGAAACTACAGAGGAACGATTGAGTCTGTCCTCTGCACCTCTATAACTGTCTGGTTTGGTTCTGCAACCCAACAGAACAGACACAGACTCCAGAGGATAATTAGGACTGCAGAAAAAAACAATTACTACCCACCTGTCTTCCATGGAGGACCTGCATCCTGCACCCTGAGTCAAAAAGAGGGCTGTGAAAATATCTACAGACCCCTCACATCCCGGACATAAACTGTTTCAACTCCTACCCTCAAAACGACAATATAGAGCACTGCACACCAGAACAACTAGACACAAGGGGAGTTTTTCCCCAAACGCCATCCCTCTGCTAAACAAATAATCCCCTCAACACTGTCCAACTAGTTACAAAGTTTGCATTACTATTACTGTTAATCTTCTCATCCCTCCTTATCACTCATCCCCTCCCACTTGTGACTGTATGACTGTAACTCTGTCGCTTGCATCCTTACGATTTATATGATTTGATTGCTTATTGTATCCTATGACTATTAAATGTTGTAATGATTCTGATGATTCCTGACTCTTGACGAATGTATCTTTTCTTTTATGGACACTGAGAACATTTGCACCAAGACAAATTCCTTGTGTGTACAATCACATTTGGCCAATAAAGATTTCTATTCTATTCTAATTCTAATTCTATTCTTATTCTACCCTGCTCTATTCTTATTGTACCCTATGGCTATTATTAAGTGTTGTACCTTGATTCTTGATTCTTAACAAATGTACCTTTTCTTTATGTACACTGAGAGCATTTGCACAAAGACAAATTCCTTGTGTGTCCAATCACACTTGGCCAATAAAAAAAGTCTATTCTATTCTCAAGGAGAGAAACAACCTAGAACTAAGGAGAAATTTCCTGACTATGAGAACAATTGATCAGAGGAATGAGTTGCCTTCAGAAGTTGTGGGTGCTTCAACACTGGAGGTTTTTAAGAAGAGATTGGACAGCCGTTTGTCTGAAATGGGGTAGGGTTGGAGGTTGGATTACAAGACCTCCAAGGTCCCTTCCAACTCTGTCCTTGTCATTCTGTTAACTCTCTTCTTCTATTAGATGCCTCTTAACTCCACCAAGAGTCGCTAAAGGCCCTCAGTCCTGAGCAACTCTCAAGCAACCACGAGGCACACTCACAGAGGGTCTCCAATGAGGCTCTTAAGAAAGCCACAGCTTCTTGCTCCAACTTGCTACAAACATTGGCAGCCCCCTGAGGGACCATCAACTCACCGTACATCTGCCGAGGCAATAAGAAGCCAGCGCTCGCCAAAGGCAGCTCCACACTCAGTTGTCCTGCGGGCGGAAAGACCCCGGTTCCATCCACGGGCATCGAAGGGCTGCCGCTGCCCTTACTTCTCCAGAGCTCCTCCTTGTTCGAGGTGGAGGCCTTCTGCAGTGGAACCACCAGTCTGGACAATGCCTCCTGCCCGCCTGGGACGGGCCTGGTTTTCAAGAACCCGAATGGACCTCCGGGCCGAGTAGAAGGGACCTCATCTTCTGCACCTGCCTCTTTTTTCTCCTCCTCCTCCTCCTCCTCTTCCTCCTCCCTCTTCCCGACACCAGGATCTCCCGGATGGGGCTGTTGCTGCCTGTTGACCAAACTGCCCTTTTTGCTGTTACGCAGGCCCTCGAAGCTCCTGAGGTCCGGTTGAATGGATTGCAAGGATCCCACCGGCGGAGCCGTGGCTGGTTTCATCCCATTCTTCACTGGGGCTTCTCTGGCGGGCGCCCGTTTTGGAGACGCCTCCAACTCGGGGTCCAAATCGTCCTGTAAGAGGTTCTCCTCCAGCTGCAGCTTCTGGGCGATGTGGTTCAGGTAGGAACGGAAGCGTCCGCTGTGGTGCTTCTGCACGAGGCGGGCGTAAGCGTTCTTGTGCGGCTTGCTAGGCGCTTCTCTCCCAGCATAGCTCGCCGGGCTGTGGACGCACCCGTGTGGCTCCATATTCCCCAAACGTTACTGGCTGAAAAGGAGCAAATATAAAGGTACACCAGAGACAGTAGAGGTGGTCCTTGACATAGCACCACAACTGAGCCCAAAATGTATGTTGCTAAAGTGAACCGTTTGCCCCAGTGGAACAACCAGTTCTCTGCCCTAATGATTTTTTCCAACAACCAGTTCACCAAACGGCTCAGGAAGTTTAGCAACCGGTTCTCCTGAACTGGTGCGAACTGGCTGAGTCCCACTGTCAGCTTTGGAAGCCATATTGACACCAGACGCTTCCACACTGCCACATTCTTGAGCCTGGGAAAAATGGGAGGGGGGGATTTCTTAGAGTGTATGTGGTTAGACATAGTAACATTTTTTTTTCTAATTCAAGGTCATGTTATATCTGCACCTGGGTGAGGGCATATCTCAAGTTGGGACAGATGGTGATTGGTGCATGTGATGCGATGATGGGTGAAGGAGGTGGATTTGTAGTTTTTTTACTTATTGCAAGGAAAACCGGAACTTTCGGATTCAGGATCCCCCAGTTGTGCCAGTTTACTATCCAAATAAAACAGAACTTTTGAGAAGATGTCTGTCTCGGAGTTATTGGTTGGAGTGGAGATTTTCTGGAACGCTGAATCCCACCACCGATTTGCTGCCTTTTACAACCTTTCTGGCAATGGTTGTTAAGCAAACCATGGCAGCTGTGAATTTAGTCACCCAGTTTGTTAAGTGAAGCTGGCTCGTCAAGAGGTCATAAAAGTGAGTCACATTTGCCGCCCTCATAAATACATGCCACCCGTCTGAATTTTGATCACCTGGCCCTGGGGGTGGGGGAATGCTGCAACGGTCATTAAGTGTGACAAACATTTGTGTCCCTTTTCTCCCTGCGGTGGCGATGCTGCAACCGTCGTAAATACGAACTCAGTTGCCAAGCCTCTGAATTGTGATCATGTGTCTACAGGGGTAAGTGTGAAAAACGGCCTTAAGTCCCTTTTTTCGGCACCGTTGTAACTTTGAACGGTCACTCAATGACCTCTTAAGTCGAGGACGACCTGTATATGAATTGGACTCTATTCTTCAGATAAACAATTACAGGTGGCCCTCGACTTACGACTGCAATTGTGTCCATCATTTCTGTTACTGGGCAAGACGGTTGTTAAGTTGAATTTTGCCCCGTTTTACGACTCTGATGCCCCAGCTGTTAACTGAATAACTGCAGTTATTCACTGCATGGACTTGGCTTGATAAGATAGCAATATCAATATCAATATCACTTAGACTTATATACTGTTTTATAGTGCTTTACAGCCCCCTCTAAGCGGTTTAAGATGATCTCAAAAGGGGATTGATTACATGACCTCTGCAACCGTCATAAACACGAATCAGTTGCCAAGCCTCCAAATTTTGATCACGTGACCACGGGAATCCTGCAACGGTCTTAAGTGTGAAAAACTGGTCATAAGTCACTTTTTCCAGTGCCTCTGTAACTTCAAACCATCACTAAGTGAACTGCGGTAACTCAAGGACTAGCTGTACTTCCTCCCCCACCCACCCCCTGTCATTTTGCTATGGAATAAAAATACAGTGATGAATGGAGAGGAATAATCTAAAGACCGGGACAGTTTTAAAACGTGTGAAGTAAAGAGCATCAGGTTGGAAAAAGAATGAGTGGGGATTCTATTCTTAACCACAAAAAAAGTATTCATATTAATGGGAAAAGAAGAGAAAACTGACAGCCGTTTGCCGAGGGCAGGACAACTCAAGTCCAAACTGTGAGCTTTCTTCCTTTGTAGGCTTTTATTTTTAATGACTAGTGAATATTTTTAGTTTCACCTCTCTATAATGAGAGAGAAGAAGTTTGAGTTTCTCTTTGTTGTTACGTGCTTGAAGTCAGTCTCGGGAATATTATGCTAATGCCATCAGATAACAAAAGCCTTATTATCCATAATGTAACAAACAACTGACTTCTGGCCTACGTGATTCAAATTGTCATACACACACACACACACATATACATACATACATATATATATACATACATACATATATAAAATCAACCTTTGGTCATGTCTGAACAGATGAACTCTTGTAAGTTATTAATGTGTTAGATTGCAGCACGCCTCATTTTTATATTGCACTATAAATGGAGGATCTAATTGGACAATTCACTTGTAATTACTTTTCTAGTTCTTTGGGAAGTTATTTTCCAACGTCACTGCCAACAAAATGCCTTATTTTATTTATACTTATTATTTCCCCCAAAAATACAACCAACCCAGAAGGTAAGTCCTGGCTTGATTTTTACACGTGCTCCCAATATAAGCCCTATCCCCCCCCAAAATAAGCCCTAATTAAGATCCACCCACTCCAGAGTGGACGGGTAAAAATTAAGATAGGGTGGGGATGGTGGGGTGGAGCTGTCCTACTACTTACCTTTGGACAGGTGTAGCCAGGCCTCGCACACCCCGACACCTGCCTGGTCAGCCCATTTCTTCTGCAGCCGGCAAGGCTTTCCTGAAGGCCTCTGGAGCAGAAAACAAAGCTCTGGATCGATCCAGAGCTCCGTTATTGGCTGCAGAGGCCTTGAGCAAAGGCTTTCTGGCCGCAGAAGACTTTCCTGAAGGCCCCTGACAGCAAAAAGGAGGCCGAGGGCGACGCGTGCAAGTGAGGTTAGTCAGTGGATGACATCCCTGAAAATAAGACCTGGTGCCTATTTCGGTGGCAAAAAGGAAATATATGACAGGGTCTTATTTTTGGGGAAACATGGTAACTATTGTACTCTATGGTTACCCTTGCTTGGCAACATACAAGTAGTCCTCAAGGTACGACCACAATTGAGCCCAACATTTCTTATGGCTAAGCGATAAGAGTTATGTGAGTTTTGCCCCGTTTTACGACCTTAGACAATTGTTAAGTGAATCAGTGCAGTTAAGTTAGTCACCCGGTTGTTAAGTGAGTCTGGCTTCCCCATGGACTTTGCTTGTCAGAAGGTCGCAAAAGGGGATCACGCGACCCCTCCCGGGACCCTGCGAACGTCACAAATAGAGATAGTCCTCGACTTACGACAACTGAGGCCAAAATTTATGTTGCTAAATGGGACATTCGTTCAATGAATTTTGCTCTGTCAGCGTAAAAATCATCCCAACTCAAAACTTTACATTGAGGGATGTTGTAACTTTGAAGAGTCACTAAATGAACTGTTGTAAGTCGAGGACTACCTGAATTGTTATGCTTTGTTTTAAAATTACTAAAACAAGAGGATGTTCATCTCTGCTGCTTGCTCATTACAACCCGGCTGCAACCTCTTAGTGGGACATCCTTTTGCTGCCAGGCAGTCCTCGACTTATGACAATCGAGTCCAAAATTTCTGCTGCTAAGCAAGGCAGTTTGTAAGGGAGTTGTGCCTCATTTTGCAACCTTTTTGCCACAATTGTTCAGCAAATCACTGCAGCTGTTAAAGGAATCGTGTGGTCATTAAGCAAATCCAGTTTGCCCCGTTGTCAGAAAACAGATGGGAGGGGTTCAAAAATGACCCCAAAAGTGTGCATCGGTCGTAAATAGAAGTCAGTCGCCAAACGCCTTAAGTTTTGACCGCACGACTTTTGGGGATGCTGTGATGGTCGCAAGTCTGCAAAATGGTCATAAGTCCCTTTTTTCTATGCTGTTAAAACTTCAAAGTCACTAAACGAAAAGTGTCAGGGTTCCGACGGATGCCCAAATTAATTCATGAGCGTGTTGATTAAAACGAGTGGACAGAAAGGTTATAAGTCGAGGAGGATCTGTACCTGCGGTTCAAGTCACCAAAAGGGGAGAGAGAAAAAATCACAACTGGCACACCAGCCAAAACTGAGTGGAGGATTTGTGCATACAATTTGGGTTTATTTCTATGTTGTTTTTTTAATTTGTTTTATTTTATTTATGTAACATATAAAAAATCCGTTTCATTTAAACAGTGTGTTGTCTGGGTGGCAATTCTTTTTGGAAATCATAATCAAAGCGTTTACAATAATATTCATCACACTGATATTAATTCAATAATAATAATAATAATAATAATAATAATAATAATGATTTACTTATCTACTTTAACAAATCTCCTTTATAACATTAATCCTTTTTGTACCCCAACATTTCTAACTTCTGTTTTGATTATCTAACCATGGGTAAAATAAATCCCATATCAAGAAATATTCAGTTCCTTCCTTTTCCTTCATTTTAAGCCGTGAAACTGTCCATTTCTGCACATTCTAATATTTTTTTAATTATACTCTCATTCGTCGGGGTCTCTTTTGCTTTTCCATTGCTGTGCAAATACAATTCTGGCTGCAGTTAGTACATGTAAAATGAAATTTATATATTAGTTGATTTCTAATTTTGACTGCTATGGGCCAGCTGTGGTCTTTTCGGGATGAGAAAGCTGTGGCAACAGTGCCCGATGTCTTGATCCCTTGAAACGCAGACTTCTGTAATGCACTCTCTACTTGGGACAGCCCCTTGTAAACTAACCCAACTGTAGCCGTCTCAAAACATGGTTTTAGCAACACCATCCCGGCGCTTCATTTGCTGCCAATCATTTTTCAAGTCCAAATATAATGCTGTCACTTATCTACAAAGCCAAACGCAATGCAGCGGCCTGTTCCCATGGAGGCCATCAGCTCCAATCCATATTTCAGCTTGTTTGACCACCCCGGAAAGAGAAACTTTAGTCTATATCAATGTCAACATTCTTCCAGCAATAAAAATTGTCTTGCCTGGGTGAGAATTTATGCTATGCTGGAGGCTCGATTGCCACTTTGGTTGGAAATTGTAAAAATGTCATTATGTTTGGAAGTGAATACAACGCTATTGATTTGAGTTAGGGAGTTTTGGTTTAATCTGCTTACTTGTGGTTATTTTATCATGTATATTACTTTGTCTTTCCAATGGGACACATTTTTCTACACAATGCAACACTTGAATCTCCATAGGACTCAGTCATCTCCTGGGCCCAAAGAGGTACACACAATTTCCTTGGCAAGAAGAGACAAT